ACTTATCAACGGAGTTGACCTACAACCGATGGTGTGTAAATGGGTAGACTATCGTATAAATAACCCCCCCCCCCCCCCCCCCAAAAAAAAAAAAAAAATAACCCCGTATATGTATGGGTGGGAAAATGAGGGAGCGAGTTGAGACAGGACATATACCTTGATGGTTACCACTTGACCAGACTACGCCACTGACTGTATTACTGCGGATCCCGGAGGGATAAAGGGCTTATACAAACCACTTAAACGTGAAGCTACGGCCCTAGCCGTGTTGTTATTACAGTTCCGGATTGTGTTGGGGAATGCCCTGTGTTGATTTTGAGATTCAGCTATACGTGTTTACAGAACGTCTGTGGGCATTCGTGAGCGAACAGGCGTTTATTAGCAGGAAAGATTATACAGCCGAGTGAAAGATTATACAGCCGAGTTTTGGCCTTCTTGTCTTGTTTAACGGACAACAGAAGCTTGGAGATAGAAGTCGTGTTCTGTGTTTTGTTTGTACTTAAAACGGAATCAGTTTCAAGACATCATGCCTGTGATTGACCGAACTAACAAACAAGGTAAGCTATAACTACTCTTAAGTCTGCCTGTCAATTTAAATGTCACTGTTTAAAAAATAACTCTTTTTTTTTTTTTTATTCTGAGATGAATGAATCAGGTGCGTGTTCTCAGTCAAGTTTAAAGTTTGAAGTTTGAACAACGGATCAGCATCCTGGCACACGGGTAGTAACCCATAAGTGAAAAAAAAAAAAAAAATTCAGAGGAAAGAGGGGGGGGGGGGGGGGGGGGGGGGGGGGGGGGGGGGGGGGGGGTTAATTATATATATATATGTTTATCGATCATCATACAAGTTTACATATATGTTACGTTCTATTCAGACCATGATTTATTGTGTCATTTAAGAAAAATGTCTTTAAACTAGTGTATATACCTGCCTGTCTGTCGACTTATTTGCTTAAGCCCACCTGGCAATATGTTTACCTAAAAGTACTTATCAAAGCATACAGACACTATTATCCGAACTAGTCAACCGTTGTAAATTAGTAATGCAGTGGATACCTTCCCACTGTGGAGTTCCCGGAAACGAAAGAGCTGATAAACTAGCTAAGGAAGGTGCAACTGAAGAACAACCCGATATACCAGTCTCTTATTAACAGAAGTAAAGAATGATCAAATCAATCAGATTGCCAACGAAACTGGCACAAGACGATTATCATATTATGGACAGACCAGAGCAAGTCATTATCCTTCGCCTTAGAACAGGGCACAATCGACTTCGCTGCCACATGTACGACAACTTTAAGATTGGCCAATCAGCCATGTGTACATGTGGACTGGCACCTGAGACAACAGATCGTATTCTCCAAGACTGTCTCAGAATCAACGCTTCCAGGCAAAACTTCTGGCCAAAAGAGATACTTGTGGAAGTCAAACTTTACGGGCCGCTTAGTGATTTACAAAAGAAGTGAAATTCATACTAGAGACAGCATTGCAGATTTAGATAATTTATTTCATGCGAAACGAAAGAAGAAGAAGTACTTATCAGCCCATCCATCCATTAATCCATCCATCCATCCATCCATCCATCCATCCATCCATCCATCCATCCATCCATCCATCCATCCATCCATCCATCCATCCATCCATCCATCCATCCATCCATCCATCCATCCATCCATCCATCCATCCATCCATCCATCCATCCATCCATCTATCCATCCATCCACCCATCCGTCCGTAAGTCCGTCAATTGATCCGTCCATATACTCACATGTCTCCTAAATTATCTGTCCATCTGTCTGTCCACCACACGTCCATCCACGCGACGGTCTTTCCATCCATTTACCTGCAGTCATTCTGTACGTTCGTCCGTCGACCTCTCTGTCTGCTTCTCAATATCCACAAGTTCAGTCTTAAGTATGTCTGAATTTTCGACACCTTTTCTTACATGTTGGGATTCCAGCAGTCTCGCTTGTGCTACACATACGCATGTGTCTGTTATCTGTTCATGCACGTCAGTTACTACACCTATATCTACGTTGTATGTTTGGCATTCAGAACTGTTTTTTTTTTTTTTTTTTGACACCTCTTCCCCAGTTCATTAAATTAAGAGCCGTGCCTTTCACACACCATAATCTATGTATTCTATTTCTCGCTTCGGGATTCTTTTTATCGCCATTATATATTACACATTTTTTTACAGATCGTATCTGCTATCATGCTTCGTCGAACAGACTGCTGATCTCGTGATACCTCTAATACTTCACGCAATTTCATGCCCTATGTGTTGTCATTATTCTTTGTTCCCCTTTATGATCTCCCTGCCTGCATAAACCATCTAATACGTCTGTCGGTGATCGAGGTTCAACTTTACTGCCCTTGAAAAACTAGCGAACAACGTGTCAGCTAAGCAAAATCTTGAAACTTGCACACACAAAGTACAAAATGTATAAGGCAGCGGTCAGATGTGCCAACACTAACAGTCCCACACAAAAACTGCAGCTTACTGCTGGCGCAAACGGTCTACTACGAAAGCTGGCATTGCTATATTCTTCCCAATAGAGAACAAGGAAAGAACCACACAGAGAAGAACTGCGTGGAGTCAAAAAACACTAACAAAAAATCAACTCTCACGGGTGGGGGGGGGGGAGGGGGAGGGGTGTCGCGTGCGGATGTGCACTAGAACGCACCAGTACTGAGTGAGCAAATAGTACGTCAAAACAATACGTCAGGTTGTGAAGGGATTGTATTCTAGGAGATGAAAGTCGAAGTTTGACCAAGGCGGATGTGTGGTCCGGCCTTGGTGTTGGATCCTTGAGGATGCTTACCCGGGATGCTGTTTTCCCCGGGGTTAAAATTCGATGAATAAAGTTGAAGGAGCGACTGGGATCCTTGAGGCGTTATCCCCGGGATGCCAAATGAAAGCGTATTGTAGAAGTTTTTCCTTTTAGGGGCTTACCCCCCCGGGGCTCCACATAAACTTCAGCAGAAAGTGGCATACTCTTTCGCCGTAAAACCGGAACTTACTTACCTTTTTCAAAACTGCGAAAGGAAATTTTTAAAATTTCGGGATCTCCAAGGTCGGACTGCACCCCCTCGTGTGAATTTTATCAGTTGGTTTTACGTCGATCGGGGTGAATTCGTGTTTTTTTTGGGGTTTCCCCCTTTGGTTACGGAATTATTTTGGGCCCGTGGCTAAGTCATGCCCCAACGCTCCTAATGCCGGGATGCCCCCGGGTTTGATCACAGCTGGGGACCATGCGCCTTCGTTGTTTTTGACAGGTATCGAAAGCCGACCCCCGAAAACAATGGGAAAAATACTGGGCTAAATCGCCTA